TTGTAGCAATAATAATGCCAGTCAAATTGACGAGACTGATAGATGCACATTGCACCCATGATAAAATCCGCACTAACACTCTGGTTAGATTGATAATGAAACTCAAAGTATAAATTGCAAGCTGAATTCATTAAAGAATGACGGTGGAACACGCTCTGAAAAAGGCAATAAAATGGAATAAAAAATGCATTTATGAGACACATTGTTGCCAAAAGTCTCATAATCCCTGGGTTCAGGACAGTTCATAGTTCCACTGTAAAAAGCCAGAGTGTTGTATGCAAACCATGAGCAACAGGTAAAGATTGCTGTGATAAATATCCACCAGGAGCTATTTTAAAAGTCAATAGGCAAGTCCCCCCCTTTACAAGAAGTGAAAGCTTATATGAACCCAGGGTCGTCAATTTGGAAAGCTCCACCTACAGCAATTCGAGTATAAATAATAATATGAAGGAAAAATATAATCATGGCTTCAATAAAATAGGTGGATAAAAAAAACCTGTTGAGAACTCAATCGAATTCAGCATGAGAAAGCAAAAATGAACTGTCTGAAAAGTATAATATATTTGTAACTTACGGAGATAAAATGAAGGAGTCGTGCCTAGGTGCGAAATTACCAACCGAGCCGAAGGCGAACATGGTAAGCACGTGAGTAAGGGTCCTTTTTTTTATCTCCAGTAGTTAGAATGGTATTTTTTGCCTCGGCGTAGGCGGAAAGTGAAATTTCCCTCTCAAGAAGCAGGAGAGAAATGTGTACTTTGCGCTCACGGGGGCGAAAAATAATTATAAGGGGGCGGACAATGAAGCCATGAAGAAATATGAGTGCACGATTGTTGCGTGCGTTGTCAATACGTCTATCAGTCAGTCCCTTTCGACAATTCAGAAGTTATTATAATAGTGGCAATGACAAAATTATTGCTGTTGGATATCATGACGTAGAACTTATTGAATGCTCCCAAGAAATCAATTGTCATCATATGAAGAACTCAGGAATTCATGAAAATGTAATAAACGGGTCGTAGTGCAAACGCCAGATATTTTATCCCAATCCGTTATACCAACGAAATTATCGGCTTTATGCAAAATTTTCGATGTTTATATATAGCCATAATGTACTCCGAGATTGCGCCATAACGTTACAAATTCGTTGACGATTGCGATCATAATGGAAGAGAGTAAGAAGAAAATAATAATAATAATGATAATAATAATAATAAAGGTATAGAAAATGTACAAACCAAAAAATGACGAATTTGTAAATTTATGGACGCAATCGCGAAGGTAATGAGAACAATTATGGAGTAGTGGAAAACAAAATGAAGGATCACGATAAACAAAAATGAGAGAAATCAAATAGATAGAAACAAATCAAGAACGATCCAAAAAATACAGACAACAGAATAAGTGTTATTGCACTACTCTTNAGGTATAGAAAATGTACAACCCGAAAAATGACGAATTTGTAAATTTATGGACGCAATCGCGAAGGTAATGAGAACAATTATGGAGTAGTGGAAAACAAAATGAAGGATCACGATAAACAAAAATGAGAGAAATCAAATAGATAGAAACAAATCAAGAACGATCCAAAAAATACAGACAACAGAATAAGTGTTATTGCACTACTCTTTTCCACTGCCATAAGCTTATGAGCTTATATAACTCTCTACTCTCTGAAGTTATGATCGCAATCAATCTTGTTCGAATCCCTTCCTCTTCGTTTTTTTTTATGTAGTAATTTTATTCATTCATATTGCAGGTTGCTAAAACGTTCACCGATAATTTAATTTCGGTGGCATCGACGTTTCAATATGGTGAGGAACGTCGCCTATTGGTGGCCTCAGTGGGAGCCTGAGCCATGTATCCCTTATGCTTCAATTCCCGACCCACAGAACGATGGGCGGAGCTTGGCTGCGAATTGGGTGGAGTTCTTATTACCGGAAGCAAGATTTCTTAGGCGAAAATTGAAAACAATTTCATCTTTTTCAAATATACCTAGACACTTCCAATTGAACTTTCCGATTTAGGGTTTACGAACCGATTATGATTGATGTATTGAAGGAAACTATTTATGTAATAAAGATCAAAGTAGTGAAATATATATAAATATATTGTATGTCTCATTTCCTTCCAAATAGCCCCCCAGGAATCTCTCTAAATTATGTTCCTGTCTCATTGTTAAAAATTGCCTAATATTCACCATGAGCTCCCCCCCTTTCTAGAATTTGGTAAAGCTTCAAATCGTTTTTATGTTTTTTGCAAGGGGGTGAAAATACCTCGGGAGGGATGAAATCAAGAACATAATTATTGACCATTCAGGAATATTTTTTATTCNGGACCTGTTCGATTACCATTATTAGTCAATCGCGCAGTTACCGACGGCGCAACTAGGGATTTTTTAATTCCTAATGCAACCGCCAAACATGATGGCGTTAAATCGCTCAAGGGGGAAAAAATTATTACACCCGGGCCTTAATGATTACACCAGTCATCATACGACCCTCAAAAACACTCTGCAAGTCTTCCCATCGGACTATATCAGTTAAATTACCCCATAAACCTCCTCCAATCGCTTCCGAGTCTCTAAATCGGGTATGGAACTTTTTTAACCGTCCCAACATATGAGTTGAACGTCTTTTCTCACTATGACTCGTACTTCTCCACAAAAATCCATTGATTTCCTTGAATGTCCTCTGATGTGGTAAAGCCATTGCTGAATTTCCCTGGGTTTTCTAGTCGTTCTCACTATTTGATATGCATCCTCCAATGACCTCAATAGTCTTCGGTATGTGTTGGGATCCATAGTGTTCATGATAGAGAGACACTAAACAACTGATAAACAACCAACACATTTCTTGTTTATATAGACGCATATGTGGGTGTGTCTACGCTCAAAAGCTTTGGAAATTTCCGCGTGATTGGTTGAAAAAGAATCATGTGACTGATGGGAAAATTCCAAGTGGTCTGAAAATTATCAACAAAATGGCAACATTTTATTCTTGGAAAAGCAACATCTTGAAATTTTCAGTGTATTTTAGTTGCTTCATTGGCATGTGTTACATTGAGCAAAATTCGTTGATATTTCCTCAATATACAGGAAGTTCGAAATGTTTGTTGATACACCACAGTTGGACGAAAAAACTGACTAACATTTGATTCTTGTGGTGCGTTAAGGTACCACAGAGTTTGCTCCAGTCTGTCGAACAGATGTTGGGAATTCTGGCCCTGCTTTGTGAATAGCAACTTGTCAAGACAGCACTCTCTCCAAAATGTAATACAACAATTTCATTCATAATGCAATATTTTAGAGTAATTCACATTTCAGCTGGTTAACCTGGGGGGGGGGGCGAGTTAAGGAAAAAATTCATAATCATTTTCAGAAACCTCAGTATCCTTCCCTCCAAGTACAATAAACTTGGGTTTGTGAGTACACGGGTCTTCTCAGGTAAACGGCACGCTCTTGTGATTCATTTCCTACCGTCATCAGTGTTGCAACAGATGATGTTTCGAAAAATCCTCGTACCACAATTACATGCACAATTTCATACATTTTTTAAGGATTCTGTCAGTTTCCTGGGGGGGCCCAATCACTCATTAATTAGTCAGTCCTGGAGGGAGGGGGCTCAATCACACATTAATTAACCAGTAGATCAAAAGCGCTAATTGACTCGTGAATCGTGAGAGTGCATTGGCTAAGTCGAGGATAGATCCCCAAAACCGCGAATTAATTGATTAACTCGCGAATCAATCCGCTAATAAAATGAGACCGGTGAATTACGTAACCCTTTCACCTACCCCCTCGCGCAGGTGGATTGACCAGGACGTCGATTTGATAGAAAAAACCACCAATTAAATTCATTAACTCACGAAATAAACCATGACCCGCGGATCGGACCGCGAATTACATGGTGACCTGCAAAGTAATCAACCATTTCACCCACTCCCTCGCGGGGGTTGGATTGACAAGTCATTAATAGAGCCCCATTTGACCGAAAAAACCGCGAATCAAATTAATTGACCCGCGAATCAAACCGCGAATTAAAACCGCGGATCCACGAATTAATCAACCATCCATCCACCCACTTTCATCTGACCCCCCTACTGAGCCCCAACGACCAGGTCTCCGCTAAAAGTTTGCGCCAGAATCGGTATTACTTATGTACTCTTATCTATAAGAGTGGCTGAATCGCGACCATGAAGAAGTCAATTATTATCTCACAAAGATGCTGTCGGGACATGGGTGCATCCGGGCCTATCTTCATAAATTCAAACATGAGGATTGCCCGAAGTGCCCGACTTGCATAGGAGTGGATGAGGACGCGGGATACGTGTTTTTCACATGCCCACGCTCCAGCGAGATCCGGAGTACCTGGGAGACTGCACCCACGGAAGGCGGGTCTTACCTGGGAACGTGAAGGATGTTTTGCTGTCAGCGCAGGCAGCCTGGGACACAACGAGCAACTTCGTGGTCCAAGTCATGAAGGAGCTTAGAAATGAGGAGCGCAAGCGCAAAACTGGAGAATAAATGCAAAACCTGTTGAAACCTCTCACCCTCACATAACGTCTTAGTAGGACAGGGGGACGTACAATAGGCTTAAACAACGAGAAAGAGCAAATAGCTGAGACCTCCCTCGCGAATTTCCTGAGTCAAGTGGTTTTATCGGGTGAGGGCCCCACACAGGGTGTGACAGTAACCGCCATATTACTGTCCACTATCGTGCGGTTAGGTACATTTCGCCCCAAGACCTCGGAAGGGGAAAAAAGCACACATACATAAACAAATAAACACACACACACACGCATACACATACAGACCGGTCTCTGAAAAATGTCATGATAGTTCCTAGGGATCATGAAACGTGGAGAAATCATGAAATTTCCACAATCGATTTTTGGGTTCATTACAATAACATTTCTCCCTTCGGGTCAAAAAGTTAATAAATAACTTCAAATTCAAAAAGAAATTGAATATGATTCTGATTTTTCATTTGATGTATTTTCAGATGGTGGTCGTGAAATGAGCAGTGAACATGTACCATTAAGTCGAGCTCTGAGAGCAGTTGTACAGACGTCCGCTGGTGTCACCGAGATTTCAATAGCATCCAACACATTAAATCAGACGAATGACGAGATGAATGATGAGGTTGCGGCTGTCTAGAACTATTCAGAAGAGAAAATCAGTGATCCAATTGACGATGAGATGTGCCCACATCCTTTTCTCATTTTGGAAGTGGTGCACGGCTGCACAAACTCTGAAACCAAAAGATAGAGAAAACGGGGAGGAGAATATATAATTAAAATAATAATATGGAAATAATGAGCATAGTTGGTGGCCTCTAGTAACTGATTCAAAGAACTAGAAAAAGTGCTTTAAAAATCATGAGAAATTGACAGAAAACAAATGGAGAATACGGTATCAAAATTCTGAAAGAATGGACTGTCAAGATACTAAAAAAATGAGATAATTGTCAAGCAGGAGCAATTGTATTATTAGAGACTGTAAAAAAGGCTTCTACGTATCCCCTCGTGTATCTATAGTCTTCGTTCGTCACTCTTTTGCCCATTCGCGAGCCATTCATTTGTCATTGTCGTCGTTGCTTGATTGTTATCGTTGATCATTGTAACACGTTGTCATTCTAAGTAATGAAAAAAAGAAATAACACATTGGAAGATGAAGAGACACATTGGAAGATTACATATACAAATGAAAAATACATAGCCTGCACTCGCACACGACCTAAAGGGTTTTTAAATTTCTCACATGGCTGTTCATAATGTCGACGAAAATTTATGATAAAGCAGGAGAAATTATTTCATAATCGCAATGGAGTCGGTCGATTCGTATGCGGCCTATTCGCATAATTATTATTATTTGTTTTACGGAAGGAGAAAAAATTTTCAAGACATATTTTCAAACAAGAATGCGGGTTTAATTGGTTTTTATAGTTTAATTGGTTTTTATGGAGATATTTATGGCTATGGTTTGGGTTTGCAATTGAGGTCCTCAGGAGGATCTGACAAATTTTTGCTCACTGTCGTTGACTCCACTGATCAACGACCAGTGTGGAGGAACCTATTGTTCTCAAGAATTCGTAAATAACATGGTAAAACCACCGATAGTATCTTACTCTAAAATATAAACAATTTTTTTCTTTGGGTATCTTTGCTTTCATTCAAAAAAGTTTGTAGAAATGTACTCCTCACTGAATACAGCTCGATAAATAAACTTATCCAAATACATTAGAAATGGAGTCACGTAACTACCGAGAACAGTAATTTACAAAAGTAAAATGACTTATTTTTAAAAAATGCTTTATTCATGCTCAGTATTGGAAAAATCATCGACATAATCTTTTTCAATTTTTTCGAAATAGACCAACGTATCTCCAATCATTTCGATCAGAGAAGCGTAAAATTGACTTACATTCTTCTGTTCCAATTAAATTTCATACTTTCAAATCACAAAAAAAAATGTACGAACTTGGGAGATCCGCTGTTATGACCCGTATGTATAACAAATAAGCGTAAATTTTAGAGTCCGTTCCAAACTCATTCAATTATGAATTAGCCAAGGTTGAATGGGACCAAGTGAAACGATGGGGGCAATTGAAACAATAAGCAAAAATGAATACAAAGCAAAATTCAGAGAACTTTTTACTCAGAAAAATGAATTATCGTACGTTCTATATTTATTTTCTTTCGAATATGTAAAGGTAAGTGCATGTATCTGAATGGTTCTGAATTTCAAAATACCAAAATTGTTGATTTCAACGTCCAGCGGTTCTAAACTTGAGGACTTTTCGCACTGAAACTAAATTTTGGAGCAAATTCTTTTGGCACTGAATTCAAGGGTTTTTTGCACTGACCCAGAGTAACCAGTTTCTCGATTTCAGAAATGTCATTCTCGAAACCAGGATTTTTTTCCTCTATGAATAACATAAGGTAGTTTTCCACTACCTTTATCCCTATTTGGCTGGTCACACAGAGGAAAAAGTAGCTGAGTCCAGTAAAAATCTCTGAATTTCAGAACAGTCGTACTAAGATTCATGAAGCAAAAAATCCTAATGAATTATCGTGCAATTTTACGTTTTCGGCCGGAGTTTCCAGTAAAAATCAGAGAAAAAACATTTAATTCTTAGTGATTTTTACTGAAATTGGGTATAAATTGAAATATATTCTCAGCTCAGCAACCTCCTCGACCCCCTTCATGAATCATTATGAATTAGAAAATCTCCCTCTTCCCGCTCCCAATCGTGAGCAATAGTATTTTGAAGCCTCCACAGGTTTTAATGCAAGACCAAAAAAAGAAAGTACTGATTCAAGTCGAAGTCGGCTTGATTCCAGTCGATTTTCAACTTTGATTCAAGCCGAGTGACTCGGACTAAACCAATCCGGATTCCGGGTCTGATGTAGGTCGACAAGTGGTTTATTTCAAGTAGAAACTTGTAAAGCCGAAAAATCGCTTTGAATAAAGTCGAAAAATCGGTTCGAATCAAACCAAAGAATAGGCTTGAATCTAACGGACGAAAGGAGTGATTCACGCCGAAATTTCGACTGTTCCGAATAGTGGACAATTACTTAATTCAAGTGGATTTTTCTGATTGATTGTGGGCTTGGCTCAAGTCGATTTGGGGACATGGTGTTTTGCCGATGGAGAAAAGACTTTACATAAGAGGATCGTTGTCTGGGACCGGGTGCATGAGGGGAAGGTTGGATTGAATTCACAATGTACAGTGCCCCCACCATTCCAAGTTTATCCGAGATATCTCCGACACTAAGGAAGATTGCGAATTTGTACTGAAAATTT